TTTTCATTCCTTATTCTGCCCTATAATTTCACTCACATTGTTAGTGTTCAACACTTGCATGTTCTTCCATACCTTTAAAAACCACTAGAAATACTGTCCTTCATAATTTATAACATAATACATATACTTCCTCTTTCCCTGTGGATATTTGGTATTTTCTCATTCAAGATTTGGCTGTGATGCCTATGGTGGCTTTGAACCTGTGATCCTTCTGTTTCTCAATTGCTGGGATTACAGATAATATATCCCCATACAATCTTTTAAAAAGTTTTTTGTAGTCAGGTGTGGTGGTGCATGACTTTAATCCCAGCACTTGGGAGGTGGAGGCAGGCTGATCTCTGTGAGTTCAAGGCCAGCCTGGTCTACATAGTGAGTTTCAGGCCAGCTGGGGCTATAGGGAGACCCTGTCTCAAAAAGATCAAAAATTGTTTTTCCATTTTAAACATGAAATTTAAGCAAGATGCTGACATAGAAGATGCCTCCTGTTTGCTACTGGAGTCGCAGTTGGGTCTTCATTCTCCATTTGTGTGTGTCTGTTTCACTGATTGGCTGCTGTGATGGTTAAGCTTGGTTGTCAACTTGACACACCTGGGAAGAGGGACCTTCAGCTGAAGAGTTACTTTTATCAGATTGGCCTATGAGCATGTTCGTGGGCACTTTCTTTATGGCTAATTGATATAGGAGGGCCCAGCCCACAGTGGGTGGTACATCCCTAGGCAAGTGGGCTTTGGTTATCTAAGACAGCTGAGCATGAGCTTGGGAGCAAGTCAGTAAGTAGCCTTGCTCCATGGCCCCAGCTTCAAGCTTCTACCTTGAGTTTCAGTCTTTTCCCTTAATGACAGACTATAACCTCAAAGCCAAATAAACTCTTTCCTCCCCAAGTTGCTTTTGCTCATGGTATTTTGTCACAACAGAAAAGCAAACTAGAAAAGCAGCTTATCAAATTGGAATTGATTTTTTCTCATTACCAAACTTAATAGACTTTCATGATTTATTAAATGGTATGTTACTCTAAGATGCAATTTAATATTTATCATTTTCAATTGTTATTTTTATATGGATTACTTCTGTATTTCTTAGTTATTTTGATTTTGTTATAGCTTTGTGTGTATGGGTGTTTATGCATGTGCATATGGTACTTGTGTGTGTGTGTGTGTGTGCATGTGGAGGACAGAGGTTGACGTTGGGTATCTTCCTTGAATATGCTTCACTTTATTTTTTGAGACAGGGTTTCTCACTGAACCTGGAAATCATTGATTTGACTAGGCTGGCTGGCCAGTGAGCCCCAGAGATCTTCTTTCTACATTTCCAGTGCTGGAATTAGAAGCACAAAGACCATCACAGTCAGCATTTTTACATGTGGTTTAGGGCTCAAACGCATGTCCTTGTGCTTGTAAGGCAAGTGCTTTACTGACTGAGCTATCTCTCCAGCACGTTCTTATATTTGTATTTCTTTCATTTATTTAATCTATTTATTTATTTTTGGTTTTTTGAGACAGTCTTCCTGTAGCCCCAGCTGGCCTGGAACATGCTATACAGACCAGGCTGGCCTTGATCTCAAAGAGATCTGCCTGCCTCTGCCTCCTGAGTTGCTGAGATTAAAGGCATGTGCCGCCACAACTGGCTATATTTGTATTTTTAGTAAGTTTGAAATATTTTAATATACAGAAAGAGGGCCAACTTTTTTTTATTGGTCAACTAACTGTCCCAATATGATTTATTGAGTATTCCATTTTATTCTGTTTAAAACACTTTGGTTGTGAGATAATAAATTTATTTTTTTGTTGCTTTCATTTATTTGTGTGTGGGGGCATGTATCATGGCATGTGTTTGGAGATCAAAGTACAGTTTGTACAAGTTGGTTCTCTCCTTCTACCATGTGGGTCACAGAGATTGAAATCAGGTTGACAGGCTTGGCAAGATGAACCTTTATCCACTGAGCGATTTCACTGGCCTGTGATAATATCAAATTTTTATGTATATGTACATATATATGTCTGTTTCTCACTGTTTATTCATTTATGTGTTTCTGTGCCATTGCTGCATTATTTTAGCATCTTAAGCTTTTAGGGTATACATTATGTATTTAGTAAGAAAGATATTTGCATTAGTTACTTTTCTGTTGCTGTGATATACTGTGACCAAGACAACTTATAGAAGAATTTGTTTGAGCTTATAGTTCCAGGGGTAAGGGTCCATAATGGTATGGGAGGCATGGCAGAAGGAGGTGGCAGGAGCAGAAAGCTGAGAGACCACATCTTCAAGCAGACACAGGAAGTAGAGAGGGACTGGAAATATGGCAAGGCTTAAGAACTCTCAAAGATGTCCCCAGTGATGTGCTTCCTCCAATAAGACCGTACCTCATAAAACCTCCCAAAACAGTGTCACCAATTCAGGACCAAATGTTCAAATACTTGGAGCCTGTGGGGGGACATTCTTATTCAAACCCCCACATTCCATTTCCTGGCCCCTTATAGGCTTAGTACCAAGAGTGAGGTTTCAAACCACAATATCTTACATAGAGTAGCCAGCTACAGCATTCATACCAATTTTCTTTGGTGTGAACAACAGGCACATGAAACTATTCACTGTGTGCTTCCAATTTGCCCTTTTCCAGTTTTTGATGGAGGTGTTTTGGTCTGGTCTGGGAGGTTTTCTGGAATTCAGATGGAAGACAGCTGTATAGTTACTTCTGAGGAAGCGTCTCCTTTTCTTAAGTTGAATGATAAAGCATGTCTTAGCGTGGGCTTCTATAACAAAATAGCATCATAACCTTAAATCTTTTAAAGCAGAACAACGAAGCTATGGCAAATGATTTATCATTGTATTTCACTGAGCCATCTCCCTAGCCCCCACCTTTATCATTTTCTTTATGTATATCCATTGTATTCATTCACCCTAAGCATTTTTTAAATTATTTTTTAATGTGTATGCATGCATTGCCTGCATGTAGGTAAGTGCACCCGTGTCATGCAATGCCTGCGGAGGTCAGAAGAGGCTGTCAGATCCCCTGGTACTGGAGTTACAGACAGTTGTTAGCTGCAATTGAGAGACCTGAGTGACTCCATCTGGGATAAAACCTCCATGGGACTGACCCAGCCCTGAACCCTGTTCCAGGAGAAACCACACACAAAAAAAAGGTATACTTGGAACAGATAGAGAACAACTCCCCTGCCAATGGACAATTAACCAGGGACAGGAAAGTACTAAAAGTCCAGATATCTCTTCAGATTTCCTGAAGGCAGCAGTTTATGGTTTGGCACTGGGCTGCAACCAATCAGATGCTTGCCAGGCTGGAGACCCCCTACTCCCCTACTTGCTGAACTTGCTGAAATAAACCTATAAAAACTTCTGTCTCCCAAAGCAAGGGGTATCACATCTGAGATCTGCTGGGTCAGTGACAGAGTGGGCCCAAACTTAAGCTTGTAACAATAAAAAAACCCTTGTGTGTTTACATCGGTTGGCTCCTTGGTGGTCTTTGGGGTCTCGTGAACTGGGCACAACACGATGTGGGTGCTGGAATTTGAACCCGGGTCTTCTGCAAGAATAACCAGTGTTCTTAACTACTGAGCCATTTCTCTAGCCCAAGCATTGTTTTCTTTAGTACAGTGTGTCAATTTTCTCTCTAAGTAATGATTTAATAGTATTGATGTATGAAAATGACAGTTAAGAAACTATCATATACAATTTTGAGGATGTTCTAAGATTTGAACTCTGGCCTCACATATACTAAGCAGGCACTGTACTATTGAATAATATGTAATAATATAATCCCCTAGTCAAATGATGTTTTAGTAACATTTTGCAGTATTTATAAAAAACCTTAAATCTTTTAAAGCAGAACAACGAAGCTATTGCAAATGATTTATCATTGTATTTCATTTTAGGTATACATTCTCCTGAGATTCAACATGTGCTCAAACTCAGAAAGAACTCAGAAGAGCAAAAGAATAAAAAGGAGGTGATGCAGACTCTTAGTGAAGACACAATGTTACAGGTATGCTGCATGTTGATTGAATACTTATTGAAACTTGAAACTACTATCTGTGGCAAATTACTAGTTATAATTTTTTGTCTTTCTATTTTGCTTCTTTTCTTTTTCTTTTTTTTCAGTTATTCCACCTTTCTTAACCAGTCATTCTATTTCTTTGCTGCAAATTTGATAAAAGTCATTTGTTTTAGGAGGGGGTTTCTCTTGGTGATGGAGAGATGACTCAGCATAAGAGCACTTGTGGCTGTTGAGGAGGACCCAGGTTTGGTTCCCAGCACCCACATAGCAGTTAACAACTGTCTGTAACTCCAATTTCAGGGGCTCTGATGCCCTCTTCTGGCTTCTGAGGGCATTGCATGACATAGGTGCACTTACGTACATACAGGCAAAACACTCATACATACAGGGGCTAGAGAGATGGCTGAGCAGTTGAGAGCACTGAATGCTTTTGCAGAGGACTTGGGTTCGGTTTCCAGCACCCACATGGCAGATAACAACCATCCACAACTCCAGTTCCAGGGGATCTAATGCCCTCTTCTGACCAACTCATGCATTGTACAATGGGAGTGCACTTGCATAGATGCTGGCAATACACTCATACACATAAAAAATAAAACTAAAATAGCAAAGAAAACACACGTACATATTAAATAAAAATAAATTTTAAATAGTTCTTTTTTTTCTCTGTGACTTTCTTTTTCAGTAGAGATAAGGAAGTGAAAAGAGCAGAGATTATAGGATAGAATATGATTTTCATCTTTATGTTCATCTTAAATTTGTAAAGAAGATACCAGTCTGTGTAGTATAATGTGAGATATATAGTATTAAAGACCCCTTTGTTGTCTTATGTATGTATGTGTATGTGCATAATCATTCATGTTCATGCCTAAGAAGTGTTTGTTTTTCTTCAGTGCAAATATTATTAGAAAAAGTAAGATATGATTTAGCTAGCAGTTTTGAATCATTAACCAGATAGAGCTATCCATCTACAAAGTCTTAAGTAATGGCAGACACACACACACACACACACACACACACGCACACAGACACACACATACACACACACAATTTGTTAAGACAGAGTCTCACTTTGTAGTATAGAATTGTCTGGTACTTACTCTGTAGCCCAGACTGGTCTTGAATTTGTAGTAGACATGAGCCACCTACCTGCTTATATATATATATAT